ACAGGGTGTGAGGGAGAGAAGAGGCAGGGGCCTCGATCGGCCGCCAGATGCCCCTGTCACGCAGCCAGGGCCTCCCACGCAGGCGCCACCGGGGAAGCCAGGACCGAGGGGCCGGGGGCCGGGAGCTGGGGGCCGGGAGCAGGCGGGGATGGGGTGAGGCTGAGCTGGCCCTGTCCGCCGTCCTGGGCCTCTGCCCATTTGGGGACAGTGAACAGCTGGGAAGCGGGTCTGGGGGTTCAGACTTGAATTTTCAGGTGGGAATGTGGTGCTGGGTTGCCCTGTGCCTCAGTTTCTCCCCTTCTGGGCAGCTCTCACCCCCGCTAATAACGAGAGAGAATCGGCCGCCTCCTGCATGCCCCCCACTGGGGACGGAGCCTGCAACCCGGGCCTGTGCCCCGACCGGGAATCGAACCGTGACCTCCTGGCTCGTGTAAGTCGATGCTCAACCACGGAGCCACGCTGGCCGGGCCACCCCCACTTCTCACCGGGAGGTGCTGACACCAGAGGCCCCTGGTGGGTGCGAGGCCGGCATGGACCCCGGCATCCAAGTTGGGGGGGCCTCACCTTCCCGCCTCAGAGCCTCCTGAGGATGTGGACAGTTACCTCGAAGGGGTGCGAGTCCCCGGGCTCCGCGGCTCCCCCATATTAGGGGAGGGCCTGGCAGCGGCTGCTTCGGGGCTAATTGGGGCGGCTCTCTAAGGCGGCCGAGGGTTATCGCGCTGTAACAACAAACATTTATGGTCCGTATCTCGGAGTCTTATCTCCTCGCAGACATTTCCTCAATTAATCCTCACAACGACTCTGGGAAGGCAGCTGCTAGCACCCCGGTTTCCCAGGGGGCGGCCCGCCTGTCTGTGGGGGGCGCTTCCCAGGGGCCCAGGCTGCTCCCTTTGCAGCCTTGGGGGGCCACCCTGAGGAGAATGAACTGCATTTTGGGGGGGAAACGTTCGAGTGGACCACGGTGTGCAGGCGCGGGCAGGAAGCCCGGAGGGGGCCAAGCCAGGGCTCACTGCGACCCCACAGAGGCTGGGTGCCTGTGCACCCCGCTTCTGGGGAGGGTGGGTTTTGGGGTTCCACACCACAGCGCCCGGTAGGCTTGCCACCCTCTCTGCTGCTGCTGTTTGAGGCTCGGACTCCCTTGGGGGCCTTAGCCCGGGCCCCACGCACCCTGCACGGCCGGAGCCACCCCGTCCCCCCTCGGC